CTGGATTCTCCTGAGCCCGAGAATGATCACCAGAGCGGTGTCGTTGAAGGGCAAAATAAACAGTGGCAGATGAGGAGAGAATTGAGCTGTGGAGAGTGGTTAGCAAGATAGTTGCTAGCACGCGTCAAAACCGAAAGTGTGCAAGTGTGTTATATTTGAGAATTCAAGAATTTTAAACAATGTTAACAAGTTTTCAGTCAGGAAATTATAGACAGTCACATGGTGCAGTGGTGATGCGCAGGGGTATGTGGGCTCATGAATGGCTTCTCTCTTTATCAATTTTATAAAATATAGTGAAAATTCAGTGGAAAAACAGTAATATGATACTTCTTAATACATTTGAATTTTCGAAATCATAAAATTAGAATAAACGTCAAAATTACAATTGTTAAAAGTGTGTATACATTTTTTTGGGACACCCTGTATATATGACTGGACATGTCCTAGATTTCCTGCTGTAAAAAGTGATTCTGTTGTGATTTTTGTATATATCTTGGGAGCTCAAGGCTGAAATCCTTATTCTCTAAATAAATTTACGCAAATTAACTCGTCTTTTATCACCGAGTAAGGGTAGGCGGCATCGCTATTCGAGGCTAGACACAAATTCTTTATTTTATATGAAGAGTTGTCTGTTGAGCATCTGATTGTTTTATTTTAGTTCACCAGTATTAAAGCTTGTTGAAGTGCTCTTAAGCTTTACTTAATGTGCAGATTTCTAAAAAGTTATACTTAGTGCGGTCTTGGATAATTTTTTGTTTGCGCTGTATCAGTGAGCGGTCACTTTAAACTGCGCTTGCTGTAAGAATGGTGCCTTCTGCCGCCGCGTCGGAATACAGTTGCGAGTACGCCACACCAAAGTTCTACGCTCTGTGCGGCCTTGGTGGAATTATTAGTTGTGGAACTACTCACACTGCCATTGTTCCACTGGATCTGGTTAAATGCCGAATTCAGGTTGACAAGGCCAAGTATGGAAACATTAGGCAGGGGTTCCGCGTTACACTCCAAGAAGGAGGCGTTCGCTCGTTGGCACGAGGATGGGCCCCTACGTTCTTCGGCTATTCCATGCAGGGCCTTGGAAAATTTGGTTTTTACGAGGTTTTCAAGCACACTTATTCCGGCATGCTGTCCGAGGTAATCCCTTTATTTTTATTTTTACCTTTTAGGAAAATGCATATCTGTGGAGAACATCCGTTTATCTGGCTGCTAGTGCTAGTGCCGAGTTTTTGGCGGACATTATGCTGTGCCCTATGGAAGCTGCGAAGGTTCGTATTCAGACCATGCCTGGATTCGCTAATACACTCCGCGAAGCTATGCCTAAAATGATCGCCGCTGAGGGAATGGGTGGTTTTTACAAGGGCATTGTACCGCTGTGGTGCCGACAGATTCCATATACCATGATGAAGTTTGCGTGCTTTGAAAGAACCGTTGAAGCTCTTTACAAATATGTTGTACCCAAACCTCGTGCTCAGTGTTCCAAACCCGAACAACTTGTCGTCACCTTTACTGCTGGCTACATCGGTAATTCTTCGCTCTTTCTTAAACTCTTTCTTAGCCGGCGTATTCTGTGCGATTGTATCGCATCCTCCTGACACCATCGTATCCAAGCTTAACAAGGACCCCAATGCTCGTCTCATGGAAGTGGCTAAAAATCTAGGTTTACTCGGTACGTCCACGCTTATTTTATGTATGCAACATAATGATTTTTTGGCTTGATTGCACGAAATAGAACAAACTAAGCGATAGGTATCCATAAAAACGAATTCGAGCGACGCCGAAGTATCTACAAACTAAGATGGGGGGATTTCGA